GGATTTTAATTTATTAACTTTACCACCATTCCCTCTCTGGGAACATCCTTTGTGAATCTGTAAAGACACAGTGAAAACAYTCAAATCAAATCCAAGAAATAGGGTTATGATCTCATTTTTAATTGGTAGATAGTTCAARTTTTCTACTCCATAATGTGATAGAAAGGCTTTTTAAACTGTTTCCATCTATAATCTGTCTTGCACTAAGTATTAGTTTTTTYCTGTTTTTCAGAAACCGTATAAATATGGTCAAGTGGACATAATAGTTTTTCTTTACAGGTCATGCCATAGTTGGAATTAGAAAGCAAATAAACCATACCTTGAAGAGAAAATATGACTATGCAGATTCTTTAACAGACCCATTTTAAGTACTGCAGTCTCCATGAAAAGTATTATTCTGTGTATGTCTCAGTAGAAATTACTTCTATTTTTTCCCATTTGGTTGTGGTATCAGTTAAAATATTTGCAAGTTTTTCTGTCCTGTGGGACCTCAAAGTTTTAAACATCCAATAAGAATTCTTATGAATGAGAATAGCTTGTAGAAAACCACATCCAAAAAGATTGACAGACTATTTGCGGTTTTTTTAATATCAGGTTAACTTGATAATAATGCCCCAAAAATACTTTATTTAATTTAATACACAGAACATTTAATTTGGAGGGGGTTTTCAGTTTTTCACTGAGTCAAAAACATCAGTTTTACTGACTTTTAGTAATTAAAATTGCATAATACATTTTATTTGTAACTAGTACTTAAAAATAACACCTAGAAGTCCTTCAAAGGAAGCATGTTAACTCTTAGTGAAATGTAGAACATGGGAGCATAAATTCTCATATCTCCCTTTAACTGGGAGCGTGATTTATTTCAGTATTTATGTTGTTATTCTTGACTTTCAAACTGACAGTTTGTTCAAGGAATCTGAAAGTTAATAATCTGTACATTGTTAGCTGAAAAGTGATTAGCAAAAGAAGCTTTCAAAACTATTTTCCTGTTTGATGTCAAAATGTTACTGTTGGTTCTTTCCAATTTGCAAGGAGTTGTTTATTTATCTAAATTGAACATTTTCATCCCTAGAAGTTCTAAGTCCCCTATAACAGGACTTATAATGAAAGTGTTGACAGAATCTTAATTTTAATGCCCTGGCTAAGATGTTTTTAAGAGAGGGTTTTTTTCCTGAAACCTTAGAAAGTGATTACTTTTAGTAAAATATTTCCATATGTATACCTTACCAATATTCATTCTAGGAAAAATACACATTTTATATGGAATTATGCATGGTCACTGATTGAATACTAGCCTGCAATTCAAGTTATRTCTTCTGTCAGATCGGAAACCACAAGTATACCCAGAGCAGAGCTGGTGTGGTTAAGGAATGGAAATGCTGCAAGCCTGAGTTACAGCCTTGGTATTCCATACTGTCATGTGAACATTTAGGAAGTGACATTTATTTGACACTTTTTAACAGTTACTTAGAAGAAAGAGGGAGAAATAAATGATAATTTAGTACTTGAGTTTTAATTTCTGCTTTGAATTACCAATGGGAGAACTGTGTCTCATTTRAAAGAGCTGTTTACCATGTACCTTTGGTATGAAATTGGGTAAAATGAAATAATATGAACCCTTCCTTTTCTTTGTATTAATTTATTTTGTTTTTGCCATGGAGAATGTCCTGGACATTTTTCCTGCATAACCAAAAAATAAAACTGTGGGCAGTCACSCTTACAGAAAGAAAGATGGAATTTAAGAGTTGCAGTGAGGAACAGCAATGGCTAATCTTTTTGGTTTTAAAACTTGCCCTGCTTATCATAGTGGTGGATAATTAAGTGATTTGTGATCAAAGGTGACAATTGCTGCTTCCTTTAATTGTAGGTTGGTTATACAAGCTGCTGATAGAGGAAACCCCAGACTCTCTGCTACAACTATTGTGAGGATACAAGTGCTGGATGTTAATGACAAWGCTCCAGTTGTCCAGCCACTAGGTGAAGTGGAGGTCCCAGAGGGTAAGTGTGATGATACGGGTAAATTTTATTAGGACTGGGAACTGCCAGACAGTGATAGTGCTTTTGGTGATTTGTGTAACCAAGCAACTGTAGTAAAAATTATAATGGGTGGTATTAGTGCTGAAATATCAAAGCAAATTGTGATCCGCTTTTATTCTCAGAGGCATTATTTTTAATCTTTAGACATTGTGTTTAAGTACAGTTTGGAACAAAACCATAGGCAATTCAGAAAGAGGAAAAAAAATCTGAGAAATGTAACTTTCATCTGTTCATTTTGGACAGCAGTATCATATCCTTCATATGTCTTCAATTTCTGCTCTTCTCCAATAAAAATGCTTGGTGTTAAATCTAGCATTGCTAGAGACATTTTGAACTTCACTGTAATACTTCCTGTAAATTTGAATGAAGYGTTAAAATGCTCTATGTTGATGATCATGAAGAAAAGGACCCAGGAYTTCCTGAGTTCTCATCCTAGCACACATCTTATGTGTTGTGTGACATTAGCTAAACATTTGCACACCTTGAGTTTTACACCTTAATTTTCAAATACAGGCATCATACATGTAAATGCATTAAGATGCACAGCCAAAAATTTATAAACACCAGTACTATTGTTGACAAAAGATATAAAGTTTGTTTTTCTAGTGATATGTGCTAGACTTTCCTATCTTTAGCTCCCACTGGTATTGAGAAGTACAGAATTCATAAATGCACAGCAGCTCTAAACTAGTTATAAAAACTAGTGGTTGAATAAACTAGTGGTTATTTAATCAGGTTTTTGTATTCCATTTGAGAACTTTTCTTTAGGAYGTGGTGCAGTAGTTTTGAGGCTTCGTGCCCCAGGCGTGCAAATGAGAAATGCTTTAGTTTCTGTTAGTTCCAGGCTTTGTTAAATTATCACAGATAGGTTCAGTTTACYATCTCTGGTGTTGTCAATTTGGCCTCTTACAAAAGCTATCTGTATCCAATTTCTCAGTCTCATAGGATTATACCTTGGTCTCCACKGATTTCTATTTTTGTGCCATGTAGGTCTGTCTGGAGGCCTTGTTTCACTCTAATGGTCTTCTCTTCCTTTGGAAAAGCTTCAGAATTGCCTTTTCTGGTTCTGCGCAGATCGGGGTCTCTGCCTCAGTTAAATATTCTTGTGACATTGTTCARTAGATTCATGTCACCTAAATGCTTGTGGAAAACCATGTAGGTTCTTGTCGCTGGTGAAGAAACTGTTATGACTGCTCTGGATCTGAGAAAGTCTAAAGAAAACCCAAATTAAAATTGGGATACAGCACATACTTTTGAAGAAATCCACTAGTGTTTCCATARCTTTTCTGGATATTCTGATTATTGTAAAACACAAAGTTTAAATGCATCAAAAGTTTACAGATTACAGAAGGATTACATATGTCCAAAGTCCAATATTACAAAATAGGCAAAATCTTCAGAAATTGTAACATTATCTTTTAGCTCTGACTTATTCTCAAAATTATCATTTCAGATGCCCTGCCTGGTTTTATAGTGACTCGAGTGTCAGCAATTGATGCAGATTCCCGGCCAGCACTTCAGTTTGCTTTTATTTATGATAACAGTCCTGAAATGAAATTTGCCATYGATCAACACACCGGTGTAATCATAGTGGTGGAGCCATTAGATTTTGAAGAAACTGCTGTGTATACACTGAATATCATCGTTTCAGATTCTGTGCATCAAACAGAAGCAGAACTCACCATCCTTGTTTTGGACATCAATGACAACCCTCCAGTGTTTACTCAGGATTTGTATCAGGTGGGAACATGGCAGRTGGACAGCATGTGGTATCTTCCTGTCTATGATGATACATAGCAGTAGTGCTTGTTTCTATTTGTCTTAAAAATGCATGTGAGCACTGACAAGAAAGGTCTCTGCAAACTATTGTTAAGCAGAAGCAGAGAGAACTCTTCAAGAAACCYCTGCCCCTTCCTAAGAATTCTGCTAAAAGGACTGAGGGAACTATTCAGTTTCCGTGTTTGTGGTTTCTGTCTTCAGAAGGCCAGTGGTGTGAATGCTAGCTGTATTCCATAAACCATGCACTCATTACTAGGAGTTACTGGATAGAATCCTTTCCATTTTGGGGAGCAGGGTCCAGTGTTCAGAATTTGTCTGAGAGGATGCTAAACAAATTGGTACATTTATACTGGCCCTGGTACTGTGGCAGGAATGTCTTCGTTTGCAGTTGCACAGCTCCACAGAGGTGTGGCAAATGCCCTGTGATAGATCGTGCACATAAAGCTGGCAGTGTGTAATGCTGCCTTAGGGCAGGGGTGCTCACCATGGGAGTGAGGGATATGGGTTTTGACCTCACCAGCATCGCCTGCTGGACTGGTGCAGAGCTCAGCTTTTGGACTGCTGGACAAGCATTTGAACTCTGTACCATTGCACAAGTCAAGTTGTCCAACAGAGAAAACAAGCTGTTTTAGTGACCATGGACAGCTGTGGGCCGCTAAGGTGATTAAAGGAAGTGAAGCATACATAAAATAGAGCCATGGAGTTGTAGAATAGTTTGGGATCCACAATGATCATCTATTCCAATGCCTTCAGCACTGACCAAAAGCTAAAGCGTGTTGTTGAGGGCATTGTCCAAATGGCTCTTAAACACAGGCTTGGGGCATTGACCACCTCTTGAGGAAACCTATTCCTGTGTTTGACCACCCTTTTGGTAAAGAAATATTTCTGAATGTCCAGTTTGACCCTTCCCTGGCACAGCTTTGAAGCATTCCCATGTATCCTGTCACTGGGTGCCAGGGAGAAGAGCTCAGCACCTCATGAAGCTGCAGAAAGCAATGGGGTCACCCCTTAGCCTTCTTTTTGCCAAACAAGGGAAGCCCAGAGTCCTTAGCCTCTCCTCACAGGACATGCCTTTCAGCCCTGTCACAGGCTTTGTGTACCTCCTCTGGGCACAGTCAAGGACCTTCACACTCTTCTTTATTCACTGAGCCTGCTGCTGACCAGCACCCCCAGATCCCTAAAAAATTATGGAATGTTTCACAGATTCGGGTGTCATCCTTGCACAGGGGTCATGCTGACTTCTCTGTATTGTTCCAGTTTTACTACATGTGCTGCCACAGTAAGCATAATATCACACAAAGCTCTCAAGGGCGGGCTGCTCCAAGGGGCTTGCCCTGGTTTCATCAGCTGTAAGGCTGTGGGGCTTGGTCTGAGGGTCAGCAGAGGTAGCAGCTCGGAGTTAATGCTTTGGATGGGAGAGAGACAAAGCTTTGAGTCAAGGTCAGCTGCAATAAAATTGCCACAGGAAAGGTAAGTTGCCAGAGGAGTTGTTTCCTTAGGACTTTTTAGTATGGGGCTGGGCTGTGCAGCTTGGGCTGAGGCTCAGGAGACCCTAGAGCATGGGAAGAGAAGGCTGAGTCTTACCAGTGTGTGTAGGTATTAATGTGGGGAAGTAAAGGTGGGCAAACCAAAGTCTTCTCTGTTGTGTCCAGTGACGGGACAGGAGGCAGTGGGTCCAAATTAAAGTACAGGAAATTCTGTTTAAACATCAGGGAACACTTATTTTTCTTTTTTTTTTAAGCTCTGACAGTGACTAAGTATTGTCACAGGTTGCCCAGAGAGGTTGTGGAGTCTCTGGAGATATCTAAAACTCATTTGAATGCAGTCATGGGCACCCTGTTTTGGGTGACCCTGCTCTGACCAAGGATTGCACAAGGTGAACTCCAGAGGTGCCCAACAGCTCCAACCATTCTGTACTCTTGTGAACTGAGCTGTTTGGCTTGGTGCTTTTTGTRTGTGGCAGATGTCCTCAGAGCCAAAAATATGAGGCTCCACAGGAGACTGGGATTTAATAATGCTTCATTCTAAGTCTCAGACAGTTTTAGTAGTGAAATAAGTCTAAACATTTGGCTTAGTAAAGAATTTTCAACCTCTGAGCATGTGCAGGCACAGGGTTTTAGTCACTTAGATACCTCTGGGACAGACTGTAGGCACCTGTGAAACTTTTGGGTGCTTGTGTTGACAGGACTTGTGTAAATTTCCCACTTAAACTCATAAATCTACATTCTGGAAAAAATTAACTAGTAATAGTCAAGTAGTTTTTAGACATCAGTTTTCCTCAACCCTTGTGTGTGTCTGATTTTGGAGAGTAGTTTAGGTGAGTACTTGCTTGTGCAAGTGCTAGGAATTTTTTTGTAGATTGTAGCAGGCAGTGTAGGGTGCATTATTAATTGATGAATAACTTTATTTTTTTATTAATTGATAAGTATAGCTTTATTTACTATTTTAATGTAAACAGCTGAGCTTCTCTTTCCACCATCCTCTTTTTTGATGTGTTGCTTGGCAAGTAAGATACTCTGCTTCTTTTTGGTTGACAATATGTATAATTCCCTATTCATCATCCTGTATTTTTATCTTTTTACTGTCTCTTCTAGTGTTTTCATATTTATACTCCTCATATATAGTTTAATAAATGTATGTGGTTATTATATACATATATTTTCTCTGTTTAAATTATTTGAACTAACACTTCAAGTTATTACAGAAGTGGCTGCTRTATCATACTGTTCATTTGAAATTGGATTTTTAAGGTGGAAGGAAATTTTGGTCACAAAAGTGCTATATCTGGACTTCAAATAATGAAAATTCTTTCAAGGGGAATGGACATCTTTGGTTTCATAGAAGAAAAATGGACCATTTTGAAAAGCTAAATTCTAAGAATAATCCAGTGGTGAAGTGCCCTAGTGCTGGAATTTTCAGGGTGCATATGTTGGCTGTTTTAGTGGTCAGTCATGTACTCCAGACAGAGACTGCAGACTGTATTCCATGTGTGGAAATGAAGGAGGTTTTGAAAGTGAGGAGAAAAGCCTTTAGCTGCAGTCCATAAGTGCACTTATGTTGAAAAAAGTGATTCATTTATTCTCTGAATTCACTRTCATAATGAGCTAGATGGATTTTACTACTGTTTAAAGCTTACTGTGAATTTGGGCCATATTGAAGGCATAGTTTTCAATATCTCAACTCTTTCTAGTTTTGTTCCAGAAGGAAATGGATAGGCAAAACTTTTTCTGAAGCTGGGAACTGTGTGAGTTTTTTCTAATGAGATCAAATAAAGGCAAATATATTTTTTTAATGTCTAAAATCTTTTATTAAGCTTTATTTTTGCTTTATATGTCAGGTGAACTTGCCAGAGCTCATTTCTATGGGTGYCTCTCTTCTGACACTCTCTGCCACGGATAGGGATTCTGAACATAATGGAATGATTTCCTACAAAATCCTCTCTTCCTCTGCAGGATTTTCCATTGATCACAAAAATGGTGAGTTTGTGAGCATGATTTATTCAGCTTTTTAAGAATAAATTGAAGAGTCCTATTGCCTTCTCACTTCTTGCCAGTGATTACTTCACTTCTGGAAATTTGTGGTGGCCAAAGTCCATCATATGTTTTGGCTAAATCCCCCATTATCAATGGGGAACTGATCGCATCAAAGGCTGGAGTACCCAGTTTGTCCCCAAACAGTGCGTATTTTTTCTGATCYAAATGAAGTGTGTGTATTTGATACTGTATCACTGAGGAGAGGTTTTGCCTTCACAGCGTTCACTATGATTTCTTAGACTCATGGAATAGTTTAGATGTGTTCTTTAATGGTTATCTAGTCCAACCCCCCTGCAATTAACAGGCACATCTTCAAATAGATCAGGTTATGTGTGATAACCTGTGATGTGTGATCAGGTTATCAGTGTCTTGTCCAACCTGGTCTTTCCAGGCATGGGATATCCAGCTCCTTTCTGGGCAATGTGTTCCAGTGTTTCACCACCCTCACTGAAAAAAAATTGTTCCTTATATTTACTCTGAATTCACCTTCTTTTGGTTGAAAACGATTACCCCAGTCCTGTCACAAAAGGCCCCTTTAGGGCCACAATAATGTCTCCCTGGAGCCATCTCTGGGCTGAGCAACCACATYTCAGCCTTTTCTCATAGSAGAGGGKCTCCAGCCCTCTGATCATTTTTTATGGCCCTCCTCTGGACTTGGTGCAACAGGTCCATGTCTTGTCTTTGCTGAGAACTCCAGGGCTGGATGCAGCACTGCAGATGGGCTTTAACAAGAGCAGAGGGAGTGAATCCCATCCCTCACCCTGCTGCCCACACTGCCTGTGGTGCAGCCCAGGACACAGCTGCTTTCTGGGCTGTGCGTGCACATTGGCAGATCATGTCCAGTTTTTCATTTACAAAATTTCATTTTTCATTTTTCATTTCATTTTACCCAATCCTCCTCCACAGGGCTGCTCTCGATCCCTCCATGCCCCAGCCTGTACTGATATCCTGACTCATGTGCAGGACCTCACACTCAGCTTTGTTGAACTTCATGAGGTTCCCATGGGCCCACTTGGTGAGCCAGTCCAGGTCCTCCTGGATGGTATCCCATCCCTTGGGCATGTCAGCTGCACCACTCAGCTCGGTGTCATCTGCAAACTTGCTGAGGGTGCACTCAATCCCACTGTCTATGCCACTGATGGAGATATTAAACAGTACTGGTCCCAGTATGGACCTCCGAGGGACACCACTTGTCACTGATGTCCATCCAGACATTGAGCCACTGTTCCCCAGATGCAAGCGATGTTCCTTCGTTGTGTACAGCCATTACAGCTGAGTCATTTTCCAATGTGACTTTAGAATCAGCTTTTGGAATCACATTTATTTGTCTGGCTTTTGTTAATTCTGTTTTATTTTCAGGTTCAGTGTTTGCCACGGAACCAGTTACACAGCTGAAAAACATTTCCATTATTCATCTCCTGATAGAAGCTACGGATGGTGGCAGTCCTCCTCTGAATGCAGTTACCTCCRTGGAGGTGCACATAGAAGATGTGAATAACTGTGCCCCTCAGTTCACAAAGGCTCTGTACAATCTCAGTGTGAGCGAGGATGCCTCACCTGGASAAACTGTCCTCCTTTTTTCTGCCATCGACTGTGACTGGACACGTGAAAATACATATGTTGAATACTCCATCATTGGTGGCAATACTGAAAATTTATTCTCTGTAGAAACAAGCATCATGGGGTCAGAAACATCCTACAAACTTGTTGGCAGTCTTGTTTTGAGCAGTGTTCTTGACAGGGAAACAGCTTCATCTCACCAGTTGGTCCTCCTTGCCTCTGATCATGGAACACCATCCTTGAACTCGACTGCTACTGTGCTGATAACTGTGCTGGATGTTAATGATAATCCTCCAGTATTTAGCAGCCCAGAGTATCACGTTCATGTCAAAGAAAGCATCCCTGTAGGGAGTCACATCACTGAAGTTTCAGCAAACGACTGCGATGGAGGCACTAATGCAGAGATCACTTATGCTATCATCTCTGGAAATGACAGAGGGCATTTTTGCTTGGATGGTAGAACAGGATCTGTAAATTTGACAAAACCGCTGGATTATGAGGATACTGTGAAATTCACTTTGGTCATCCAAGCCACGGATGGAGGGACAGATGCAAAAAACATGGCTTTTGCTGTTGTTCTTGTTAGTGTCCTAGATGACAATGATTATGCTCCACTTTTTTTGTTTCCCAGTATGAGCTGCACTGTCAGTGAAAATCTGCCGACCTTTTCTTTTGTGTGTGCTGTTTGTGCACTGGATTTTGATAAGGGCTCCTATGGACACCTTACCTACTCCATTCAGTCTTCATGTTTGGCTCATCGTGAAGCTCCTAGAGACCATGACATGTTCTTCATTGATCCTCTAACAGGAGATATTCATACAAAGCAAGTGTTTGACTATGAAAGTCAAAATAGGTACTGTTTCATAATCCAAGCAAAAGACAAAGGTGACTTTCTCGCTACCACTACAGTTCAGGTAGATATTGAGGGGAGAGATGAATTTGACCCAGTGTTTACACAAGAACATTATTTCTTTGATCTTCCTGAGAAGAATGAAGCAGGCCTGTTGATTGGCAGAGTGACAGCAACAGACAGTGATGGTGGGYTGGATGGAGTTGTTCGTTACTCCCTTCTAAAACCTTCTCCATTCTTTTCTGTGAATCAAACCAGTGGCAATATTTATTTGACTCAGACTGTTCACAGAAGGAAAAAYGGCATCAAAAGGAATGATGATAGTCTGGAACTGTTGGTAAGAG